GATACTAGACCGGCCCACCACATAAGTATGACTCCCCCACACTTAAAATGAAGCAATGCCCTCATTGCTTCCACACATAACCGGGAAGTCAAATATCAAAACTTAGGAGTTGTACCAATTTATAATCTAACATAATAACACAAAACTCAAAAGAAACCAAAAAAAAAAAAGAGAAAAGAGTGTGCAAACCAAAGATGCGTCGATGAGGATAAGCGTTCACGTGCAATTCTTTCACCCACGCTCAACCCGGGATTTTTATCTTCTTCGTTCAGCTCAATCATCAAGCTACAAGCTCGTCCCTGGCAAGAAAATCACAAAACTCCAAAACTCCCATTATTCAAAAATAAACATAAAATAAAGAGCGTAAACGAAACACACAAGAAAGCAGTAAATCACTTGGGTTGCCTTCCAAGAAGCGCTTGTTTTATGTCATTAGCTTGACGAAACCTGTGGGGAACTCAGCCGGGATCCAGAAAAAAATGTCGATCATGCCACGCCTTTGTATTCTCCAGTAGTAGTCCCGTTGGTAGTACGAAACATAGGCGGGCAATGTAGACTCTCATGGCCGTGTTCTTGTGATTCCGAGCACGGATATCAACACCTATCAAGAGAAAATATAAATGTTTACATACCAAGGCCCTATGGCCGACCTCCGAAATAATGAACATGTCTGTGGAGCATGTCGAATCCATCCCGGTCATAACCAATGCCATCTCGGACGTGTGCTTAATAATTTTGACAGTTGGAAGCACGTGAGTGTACGCACTAAACTCCTCCAGTTGTTCACAATCCTCAATAATACAAAATGGAGACCCAAAGGACATGCGAACCACTTCGTACTCAACATTATGAGCCAGGTCATTCATCAATGCACACTTCGGGTCAATGACTTCATATAATGACTTGGCATCCTCCTCGACCACATCCACGACATCATGAACTATCTCTTCCTCACAATCATCATCCCGAGCTCTTTCAACACTACCCGGCACAATCGAATCTTCAAGTGAAGTATCCCCCATACCATGCACCGTATAGGCCTCCGAGTCCATACACTCACTCTCATCAATAGCAATCGAAGTCAACGCACAATCATCGGAGGGTAGGTTTGACTTTTCCAACGTGGATTTCCAGTTCGGATCGTCCAGAGAAGAGATTCTTCTAACAACCAAATCGCCAATGTCCTCCCTTGTGTCGAGAGATTGTGTTCCATCATAAACGGGGGTGAGGCCCCCCTCTTTGAGAGAGACAAACTGATCCACCATAGCTTGAAACTCGCCCTCTAACCGTGTGTTTTCTCGACAAACTCTCACCGATAAAGAAGAATATCTACCAAGCGAAATATGAGATGCGTCCAAGTCGAAGAAAGCAACTACGGTAGAGTTGAACTTCGTGAGTTGGGTTTGAAGAACGGATGGAACGGGAATGATCCTCCAATTATGAAACTCATCTATGATTAAATAGGAGGTTCGCAAGTACCTCTCGAGTGTTCGTCAAAACCTCTTGGTGAAAGTCGGTAGGCACAACCGTTATTTGAATTGAGGTTTCGGTCCTCGATGTGCAAAGTTGGCCAACCGATTGATGCTCATATATAAGAGAGGGTCGAGCATAGGACTCGGGTGGTGGTATTGAATCACAATATTCGAGGAGCGAAGGATAGTGGTAGTCAGAAGATGAAGGTTGGTAATAAGGCGTCTCGTAGTGAGTTGGAGCGTAATAATCGTATCCACCTTGAGATGTCAGGTAAGAATGGCTTGGGCCATACCCTTGGGTTGGAGAATATTCGTCATAACAATAGGGATTTGAATAGCTCGGATACGGATAAGGCGGCCCTCCATGTGAGTACATCTTCTCTTGGTAGTTGTCGGGGTATCCACGAGACGAGCTTCCGGTATAAGAATAGCCGTGCGGGTCTATCGGAGCTCCTAAGGGAAACACCTCGCACAAGAAAAGCAAAACAACCAAGGCACACGAGACCAAGAAATATATATATATATATATAATTTTTTTTATACGATTTTTCAAAATATACCAAAAACAATAGAAATGGAAAATAAGAAAATCGATAGAAAACACTGAAATTAAGCAAATATCACAAAAGTAAGAGAATAACACCAATACCAAAACTAAATATCCTACTTGCCTTCCCCGGCAACGGCGCCAAATTTGTTGTAGCAAATTGTTTTTATTTTACCGAGCACCGAATTGAATGATTCGTTTCCCGGGTCGATCTCTCGAGGAAGGCGGTTCAGAATTTAGTATTGATATCGATAACACATAAAAGAAAAAAAAATCCTACACATTCTAATCACGATAGGGTTGGAAAATTATCAACTACGAAATAACAAAAGACGATAATCTACCTAAAAATATAAACGATAAACAGATAAACAAGCTAGGGTATCGGGAATAATCGCTTCCGGTTCTACACACATTTAAAGGCAATCAATAACTCGGTTAAATGGTTTGACTAACTAAATCATTTAGCGGTTTAACCTCACTAACTCTCGCAATATGAGGATAAACATAAACGAGCAAATTAACGAAACAATTAACACATAGACAATACGTCTCCGAACATGTCTACTCTAAACGAGCCAAATTCCACCAATTTCTCTCCTCTCGGTTTTGAAATCGATTATCTCTACGACTCCTCCCCTTTCAGTTCTAAAAGTCGCAATTCGTAGAATGAACAAACTCTAACTCAACAAATCAATATTTAATCACAAATCAAAGTGTTACTCTTTTATTATATCAACAAATTAACCTAAGTGTCACTCTTAGGTTATATCAATTTATCAAGCATGATTTTATCAATTCATAATTAAAACAACTCATCAAGATTGAGCTATCGTCATGCACATAAACGACAACAAACCGGAATGATTATCCCATAACCCTAGCTAAAGGATTAGCTACTCATATCCAATTCAACACAACAAAATATATCTCCTAAATTAACCATTATGAATGAATTAATTCAAAGAGAAATTAAACTTACATATCAATCTCCAAGTGTTGAGTTCAAATACAAGCTTTATCCAAAATGAAGAAAATACAAGAAGAAGAAAGGAAGACGAAGGAGGAAGAGAGGGAGAAGAGAGGAGAACCCCTCTATGGAGTTGTGTCCTCAAGTCTTGCACTTCACCCCTTTTATACTACTCATCATCCAACATTCAACCTCATTTTAGGGCACTACAATCACAAGACAATCCACCATTTAAGGCATTATAATTACAAGATAAGGAGTGAAATGATCCACCATCCCAATCATGTCTTCCACTAGCGTGTAAAATGAGAAAAAGCCACAAAATCTGCACATTCCAGGTTCCGCTGCCCGCGGCGAAGAGAGTTCCGCTGCCCGTGGCGAAGAGTCGCGGCCGTGACTTCCAAGCGCTGAAAAACTGTTTCTTCTCGCGGTACTTCTCGCAACTCGCGGCTTTACTCGCGACTGCAATGCGCGGCTTCACGTTTTAGGCTCGTTCGAGCTCTTTCGAACTCGGAATTTGATTTCCTACATGTAGCCAATGAAGCCCTCTACGCATTTATGTTTTCAAATCCAACTTCTTCAAAACTTATTCACCCAAAGCTTTTGACTTCAAGTTGACGGCTTCCGTGCACGAATTTGAATATTGGGCCCGTCCGGACTCGAAATTAGATTCCGCTTTTTCCTATGTGTAGCTAAGAAATCCATCTATCCAACCATGATTTCCCGACCCGTTTTCGAGCTAAATCGATTCCTGACGGGACATCCGACCTTCACACTAAAAATAAGAAGAAAAACGTAGAAAAACGACAAAACACACGAAAAACACATAAAAAGTCAAAATAGAACAAAACACACGATAAACTATAAAATGAACTAAAAACTAACAAAAAGACCTAAAACGGGAAAAAAGAACGACAAAATAGTACAAAAGAACGTAACAAAAATGGTCACAACAGTGATCATTCGAAAAAAAAATATATTTTTAGTTATTATATTTAAGATTTTAATATTTTAAGGGAGAAATATTAAAACTTATATATGTGGGCCAATGGCACGCTGCATACATCGGCCAAGTGGATATGGTACTACTCAATCCGACTTGACCTAATGCCATTGCTACCGGCGTACTATGACTCACTTTATTTTTTATAATGTTATTTTGGATTCGAAGTATCTTTTTCTAATTTTGCCCTCAACTTAATTTTCTTTCGATACAAATTTATATTTTTGTTGATTTTGATCCTTCTTATGCTTGGCCTTCTTGTGCACCTTACTCGTTGGATTACCTTCATCCAATTTGGCCGAAAGTTGAGTCGACAACTACAATGTTCGTGCATTCAAGAAAAAAAATAAAAATAAAAAATATGAAACCTCATGAACACCCATTTCTTCAATCTAAAAAAAAAGAAAAGAAAAATAAGATTAGTTTTGGCGTAATGATAATTTTCATGAGAAAGGTTTTGATTTAGTGAAAAATCTGCAGAATTCTATGGTGCCCATATGGGCACCATAAGCCATGCCATATTATGAGGTGGCATATTATGTGGCTTTATTATTTAGGTTTAAAAATTCTAACTTGGGTATTAGGTGGTGCTTCCATAAAAATAACACAATAATTGTGAAAGAAATAAATAAATAATCTTTAATCTGTTCCCAAAATATTAACCCGTTCCTATCCCGTTCCCCCAAATTCTCTTCAATCTCACGATCTCACTCACCGACCCACCGGTATGGCCACAATCTCGTCGCTGCTGAGCTTTTTTGTTGCTTTTCCGATGAATTGGTGGCGGCGGCGGTCTGTGATGGGAAGAGGGAGATCGGGCTGGACGGCGGTCTGTGATAGGGCTTGGTTGCTGGCGAAGTTTCTCAATTTGTACCTCGAAATCAAATTTTCAAGGAGAAATTCGTAGAGCTCGTTGTTGGATATGTGGGGCGTGTTGAGATTTGGGAGAGGGGATGAGATTAAATTAGGGATTGGTCCTAAATTTCGTTATTCTGGAGGTGGAAGGTGATGAGGCAGGTGAGACTGGCGAGTCGGCGGGATGGGGTCGCTGAGGTTGACGAGCCGGAGAAGTCGTTGCTGGAGAGGTAGACGAGCTTGAGGTTGATGCAGCGGGAGAGGGGGCCGCTGATGTTGTGGAAAAGGGAAAAGATTGATATTTTTGTTTTTCCCGCGAAAAGGTTAAGGAGGCGGAGCTGGTCGAGGGATGCGAGGGCGTTGATGGGGCCGATAGGTTGTGGGATCAGAGGACGAGGGTGGTAACGCGTCCGTTGGTGACGCGTCAATTGTTTTGTGAAACAGGGACAGGGACACGAAGGGTTAACATTATAGTCTCGTGGTCTGCGGTCCGGGAGCTTAGCATCGACACACGCAGGGTTAACATACAAATAGGGACATTGATGTCATGCCCCCGTGTCAGGACGGCTATGCTCAAGGCAGCCATCCGATCGACACTTATCCACAGGCAAAAAGGTCACGTCATTCGAGCAGGGCACGTTAACCCCATATCCACCCTCGACCCGAGCCTGGTCTACAATAGCCACAGATGACTATTTGAGTTTCCTCTGTGCGATCAACTATACGCCCCCATCAGATCAATCTCGTCTCGTCACAGACCGACTTGAACTATCCCACTGAAAAACTATTGTCTGAGATTAATCTTCAAGTTCACAGATACATTTGTTGGTTTGGAGTCCATCCAAACATGGATGTAACATTACAGGATTAGTTACATGTATTTTTTCGTGCAATGGGATGAAGTTGAGATTTGGGTGTTTCGTTTGTAAACTTTTATATATTTACTGAAGTGAGCCTTTATTTTTTTGTTTTCACTTCTTCCGCCCTCTCATCTATTTCCTCTTTGTGCTTCTTGTCCATCTCAGCCATGTTATCTGCCCATTTTATTTTCACTTGAATTGAAACCAGAAGACTGTTTGAGGTGGTTCACCAATTTGCTAGCACTTGAATCATGTTACCCAATTGTCCAAGTCTAAGATCCCTCCCTGCTTCACCTCAAAGCATCTTCTCAACTTATCCAATTTCCTTTGAACTGAAGTGAACCTTTGAATTATAAAACTCCACAGTTGAATAAAAAAACTCCACAAAAACTCCACTACTGAATAAAAAAAGTTGGCAGAAGGAACCTGTGAATTGTAAAACTCAACAGTTGAATAAAAAGAGCTGATAGAGAATATTAGGAACAAGGAAGATACTACAACTAGTTCTACAAATGATATATCTAGTCTTAAACAACCTCTTCCCTACGTTCGACAGATTAAACTTACACTGGCATAAGAGATTCATTAGACATACAAGATGAAAGTTAATCTACTGAACAACCCAACACATCATTTTTTTCCTGAACGGTGTACCATGCCACATAGGGAGCAAACATTCTGAAATCTAACTTCATATTGCCCCTGAAAATACCAGTGTTTTTCTCAACAGAGAACAAAGAACCCGACCAAAACAATGACATAAGAAAGCCACTTTCAACAAAACAAATATCAACCAATATCTGGA